TGTAAATCTTCACCCCCCCAAAAAAAAAAAAAAAAATTACCCTCCAGCTACCTCAAAATGACCTCAAGTACTAGAGCCTGAGGGTTTATGGTCTGGATCCAGAAGCAATAAGCACCAACAACTTGAAGCCAGCAGTGAACCTGAACTCAAAGTTCTGAGGACCAATGTAATGCCAGCTGATACCTAAGTTTCCTGTGTCCAAGACCTTACCCAAGAAGAGACATTTCTAAAAATACGTGTATGTGATTTTCAAAAAACTACTTTTAAATAATAGAAGTAATGTTTAAGACTTGTGAAATTAAAATATAAAAAGTCTAACACTTTTTAAGAGGTGGGGGAAAGGTGTCTCCCACCTGCACCGATGACCTACTCACCAGGTGATGCACTCACAGCAGTGGGTGGGGCCTGGTTGGGAGTGCTCCTTCCTCTAGAGCTTATACTTCCCTAAGTTCTAGAACCTCCAGAAAAGGCAAGACCCTATCGTGAGAGGTATAAAAAACCACAACATTAAAAGTAAGATCCCAAAGCGCTACTGCCTTAGAAACGCATGTTAAAGTCATTATGTTAGTAAATCTATTACAGGAGAGGTGGTTTTGGTATTATGTTTATCCTCAACACTATTCTTCCCTGACAGTTAATTGTTCATTCACTCATTCAGCATTTACTGTACACCTAAAACAGGGTAAGCCTTGTGCTAAAAACCAAAACCAAACTCACTGCTGTTGAGTCGGATCCAACCCCTAGCAACCCCCACTTGGGTTTCCGAGGTGGTATCACTATGGAAGTAGATTGCCCAACCTTCCTTCCAAGGAGTGGCTGATGGGTTTGAACCGCCAGCCTTCTGGTTAGCCATCTAATGCCTTAGGCACTTGTGCTAGGCAGAGAAAAATGAAATGAAAAATAGACAGAGGTGTAGTCCTTGCTTCAAGGAATATACTCACATTCTGTAAATGTACAATTGGATTCATGCTATTTACCTACTCACATAAAAGGGTGCATTAGGAAAACAAGTTTTCCTCCGTGACCTGAGCACTTCTCCCACATTCAAACACACCAATACCTCTTTTACTTTTAACTTTATTTGGCAAAGCAGCACTGTATAAACTGTTGAGTAACTAAGACACAGCTTACACAGCATGTTAAATTCATATACATTATCAGCAGCAAATGAGAAACAGAAAGAAACCATACTGAGCTACAAATCTCCTATAATTTTTAAAGACAGAAAAGAACTATGTCAGTTATGTCCAATCTGAACAGCTGAGTGTTTTAAGGGACATCTCCTGCCATCTTAAGTTTTATTATCTACAAATGCTTTTAGTTTTAAGGGAAAAAGCAGCTGATTGTATCTACAACATGCTATTCTATGACACCACATCAAAGCTTTAAAAAGGAAGCTCATCTCTATTTTCTTAGTAGCATCTATCAGACATCCAAATATCAAGAATCTTAACTTGTGAATGGTGGTGTTATCTGACACACAAAACAATCTGATAAATTAATATCAGAAGAGAATTAAGTGTCCAAGAAAAGAAAAGTCACTCCTCAAAATCAGAATTTACAAACTAAGTCTTCCATTTTGTAGAATTGCTTCTTTTAATATTTTAAAGTAAAATGTGGTCATGTTAAAGTAGTAATACACAAATTTATACTTTGCAGCCTTCCTCTACCAATGTGGCTTTGTGCCTCTTTAAGAATTAGAAACTCTATAAAACCACACATTTTCATGCTGAAAATAATAGTGTGACAAAGTCCAAAACAAGCTGTGATGCTGTTGGTTTTCAAAAAGCTGAGGACTGAGATGAGCAATCAACCCACTGTGACGTTATGTACTGGTCAAGCTGATGTTGCTTTTACAGTTCATCCCTGGGGAGGCAAAGAAAGAAATGTAAGTAAGAGGTACACACCCCAACATTCAGCTTTCTGACAGCTTAGATACAGTTATTAAATCAGTAAAAAGTGCACGGATCACAAGCAATATATTAAAACAAAACAAGAAACAATCCCATATCAAAGCAAAAATGGAAGTCAACCACTTCAAACATCTTTCCTGCCACTCCAGAGTGAAGTATGAAACTTGGTAACTTCCTTCAAGATCAATAATTCAGAGAAATTATAACTTTTAGAGATCTAGGATCATCTTGCTAATACTATTTACTGTAAAACTATATATTGAGAGTTCAGATGATTTATAAAATTTTATAGTTACATTCACAAAACTGGACACAAACTTGGTCTTTTGCTTACAGTGTCTGCTAGCAGTTGTTCAGAGGGTCAATCTCAACCCAAACTCTTGGAAGAAAATGCATTATCTTTAGGCATAATATATCGTTATCTTCACAGAAATAATGGGCACATTATACATTTTTCCAAACACATACACTGTTTCCTGTGTGTGCTATATGCTTGTGTGCGTTATTTATGTGGGTGCATTATATTGCAAAAATATAGTGGTATCCTGTCAGCTGATTTCATAAAGCAGCTCAGCTCTGAGCAACACTGTGCCAGCAACTGCCAATGACAGGAAGGAATCAAAGATGCCATCTAAAATAAATGGCATGTTATATAAATTATACCTCAGTAAAGCTCTTAAAAGTGGGAAAAAATAAATAAAACAACATCATCCCTAAAGGCCTCATATTTGAGGGTAATCTGAGTAACAAAAACAACCTTAAAACTCAAGTACTTTAGGGATAAAGAGTCATGATGTTTGTATCTAATCTCAAAAGATCAGGAAAAAAAATTCATACACATCTATCTATCTAGAGAATGAATGTCAAAGCAAATACGGAGAAATGTTCATCAGTAACTCTAGATAAAGGAATTCAGGAGTTTTTTGTATTATTTTTGCAACTTGCCTGTAATAAAAATTTTGAAAGTTGGTAAAAAAAAATTTCAAAAGGAAAGTGAAATAAACTTACGTTTCACAGGTAAGTGCTGAATTAAGTTATTATCAATTTGCTTTTTAAAAAATGGAATTTTATAAATTGTGCAAGAAAATATTTTACAAGTTACTTCTTCCATAAACTGCATTTGTCTTAACAGTATTGTTAAATGATAAACCATCAGTTCTGATTCATCTTAATATTTTTCTTCTGAAGGTATACACTACAGTGCTATAATTCTTATAGAACAGCTTTTACTTAAATTCATGCAAGCACTAAAATATTTAATCTGAAGGAATTCACTTGCAGATGTAATGTTCTATTTACAAACTAAAATGAATTTACTTGTGTTTTTTAAAAATATGAACTGATGACATATTGTTTTGTTTTTTTACAGTAATTGACATTTTATTCAGCTGTTGCATGGCACTGAGGATACTGTAAATAAACCTTAATTCTCCATCAAAAACACAGTATAACAACACTAACACTGCCAAATACTTTCATGTTTAGATTTTTCTTAATAAAGGAAAATAAATTAAGCATATAAACCTGAATTTTAAAATGTCAGCTTCAGGGTAAAAACAAGAATGCACTGCCAGTGCACACACAACTGTCACTTCCTAATGCTCCAAGTGACTCGTTTCCTAATGTTTACAGTTCTGCATAAACCTCTTTCTTTAGCTGACTTAATACATAGATTGCTTCCAATAAATAGTAGTGTACTCTGAATTTGTAAAGCCTCTTTGAAATGTCTAAATATATACTAAATACCTAGTATTAATAACTAGAGTAACTCCATGCCTAACAAAACAACAATCTAAATCCATGAATGTCTCCCTCCATGGTATTAATGCACCAAAAATGCAGGTGACGTTCTCCAAGGATAAGGAAACCCCAGTCTCCATCCTGGTTTGCAGCTTTATTTGGGGCTCTAATTCAGCATGCCCACTTTGGTTCTCACTCTTCTCGTATGGTTTCTAGCTCATGGTCCTCTTGTACCTCAGCAAAGACTGGCTGTCACTTTCCCAGAGAACTCTACTACACCTCACTCTGGATCTCTCGGTAGGAGAAGGCTGGAAGAGAGAAGGTTCATGGGCAAGCACTCTGATGAGCTGTTGAATTAATCCTGAAGAAAATGTAATAGAAACCCCCTAGCCTGGCAAGAAGTTGATGGAGGAGCTTTTCAGAGAATTTCCAGTATGGACAGGCCCTTAGAAAATGGCAAGCAACTATTTTCCATCTTCACAGAGAAGAGCAGGAGGGAGTAGACTTTTGAGCCACATCACATGTAGGTACCAATCCACTTCTATCCTCACTACCACAGCCTTAGTTCAGGCCACCATGATTTCAACCATGAACTGCTGCAACAAGCTCCTGTTTGGACTCTAGATTTGTCTCTTTCCAACCTCCTCTCTACACCAGAGCCGGAGTTACCCTTCTGCATCACAATTCTGGTAACTTCACGGCCAGGGTTAACACTTCAACTGCTCCCTATTGCTCTCAAGGCAGAGACCAAACAAACCCCCCAAAAATCAGTTGCCGTGGATTAAATTCCAACTCATGGTGACCCCATGTGTGTCAGAGTAGAACTGTGCTCCATGGAAGTGGCTGAGTTTTCAGAAGTAGATCTCCAGGCCTTTCTTCAGCAGCACCCATGGGTGGATGCAACCCCCCACCTTTAGGTTAGCAGTGGAGTGGAACTCCAAACACACTGCACTGTAGTTCCCTGTCTTTATTTGTATCTCCACAAGACTAAGCTCCATGAGACCAAGTCAGTCTCACATTCACAGCTGTATACTCCTGGTGCCTAGCACAGTGCCTGGCAGAGTGGGCTTAGGCATATTTGTGAAATGAATGAATGAGATTAGAGGATTCTCACACTGAAAATTACTTGACAAAAGAATAACCAAAGAAAAGCGTATGATGTTGCTTTTCCAAAGGCAATTTAAACACATTTTTTTCTATCAAGAACCGTTTTAGCATAGATTGCCTCAAGGGGGTAAAAATAGGGCACACAAAACTTCTGTGATTTCTCAAGTCTGTTCCAAACCTAAAATTTAAAAGCAGCAGAGCATATGCTGGGGGAAAGGAGAGAAGATGGTGGTGGGAGCTGATTTCAGACTACAGGCATACCTCAGATACTGCAGGGTCAGTTTCAGACCACCACAATGGAGCTCATGTCGCAGTAAAGCGAGTCATACTGATTTTTGGTTTCCCAGTGCATATAAAATTTATGTCTACACTATACTATAGTCTATTAAATGTGCAACAGAATTACGGAAAAGTTTGAAATATTTTAAGAAGTACCAAAATGTGACACAGAGACATGAAGTGAGCACATGCTGTTGGGAAAATGGCGCCGATAGACTTGCTCGACGCAGGGTTGCCACACACCTTCAATTTGTAAAAAACGCAATATCTGTGAAGCGCAATAAAGCGAAGCACAATAAAACGAGGTATGCCTGTACATCTGCCACAGGGCCCCTTCCTCTCTGACTTCCAGCTGTGTCTGGCTCACATGATGCTCTGGTAAGAGATAAGAAGGCAGGAGGAGAGAAGGTGAGGGGACACACAGATCTGGTAGTAGTCACTTCCCTCCACTGCTTCAGCTCCTGTCTGCTGGCCCCTTTTGCTGCCCCTGCCCTCAGTGGATTCCAGTAGCTTCCTCCCCAACCTACTCAGACAAGGAGGGTGAGAATGGTTGCACAACTTAAAAGAATGTAATCACCGTCACTAAACTGAACACACAGAAACTGCTGAATTGGTGTATAGTTTGCTATATATATTCTCAATAATAAAAAGTTCCCTATTTCTCTCACAAGTCCCTTCATTAAAATCCCTTCCAAATCTAGCTGAGTATGCCACCTGTTTCCTGCCTAGCATCTGACTGATAGAGTTTATGAACAAACAGAAACAGCAGCATGATGGTTTCTTGAAAGTTAACAGTTCAAATTTTACCCTTTCAGGCATTGTTTTCCAGTAACTTCTTTTTAGTACAAAATTTTTTAAAAAGGTGACAGTGGGGTTTTTTTGGTTTCCAATTTAGTCTTCAGATTTTGTTTCATCTTTAATATACTTTAACTTCTAATTTACAATCTACTAACTAAGCATCTTTGTAACCAAAACTACATTTTTTGATGTAGAAAAATGTGTCTGAATAGGTAGAAAACCTACAACAAAAAAATATTACAAAGTACTGCTAGTACAACTAGAGAGAAGTTTTCCAATTCTGCAAATGTAAAATTGCTCTAAAAGTTTTTTCAAGGCCCAAAACAGTACAGATGAAAATATCTGGCAAATGACTGGGCAAGTGTCCATAAATTTAAAAATCATTCTTCTAATCTTTTAGGTATAAATTATTGTTGCTCTTGTTAGGTGCCACTGAGTCAGTCCCAACTCACGGCAACAACAGAATGAAACAATGTCTTCTCCCGTGTCACCCTAACAATTATTGCCGTGCTGCAGCCGCTGTGTCAACCCACCTCAGTGAGGGTAGTCCCCTTTTTTGCTGACCCTCTCTCTACTTTATCAAGCATGGTGTCCTTCTCCAGGAGTTGGTCTCTTCTGACAACATGACCAAAGTAAGAGAAACGAAGTCCACACATCTAAGGACCACTCTTCTACTTCCAAGACAGATATGTTTGTTGTTCCAGCAGTCTGTGGTATATTCAATTTTCTTAGCCAACACCATAATTCAAAGGCATCAGTCTTCTTCGGTCTTCCTTACTCATTGTCCAGCTTTCACATGCATATGAGGTGATTGAAAAGACCAGGTGTACCTTAGTCTTCAAAGTGACATCTCTGCCTTTAACACTTTAAAAAGGTCCCTTGCAGAAGATTTCTCCAGTGCAATACTGTATGTCATTTGGTATCTTGGCTACTGCTTCCACGGGTGTTGATTATGGAGCCAAATAAAATGAAATCCTTGACAACTGCAATCTTTTCTCCATTTATCATGATGATGTTTATTGGTCCAGTTGTGAGGATTTTTGTTTTATGTTGAGGTGTAATACATATTGAAAGCTGTAGTATTTGATCTAATCAGTGTTTCAACTCTTCTTCACTCACAGCAAACAAGGCTGTGTCATCTGCATGCATATATATATATATATATATATATATATATAT